CTGAGTGACTTGGAGAGGGCCAGTAGTGCTGTGGTGCTGCTGTGGCTGGGGTGCCCTGTGCAAGGCAAGTTGCTCACCCTGTGCATGAGAGGGTCCCAAAATGCACAGCCTGGGGTCTCAGTGTGTCCCCAGCCCCCTCAGCCAGCCTGAGGTTGAACCTGCAGGGACCTTGCTCCTCCCTGCCAGGAGGGTCCTTACCCAAGGCCTCGTCCTGCCCTCAGCACCTCCCAGTTACAGCTGGTATGAAGCTGTAAACCATCATGTGTTGTGACACCACCCCATGCAGTGTCATTCCTGGAAACCCATGACATTTTATGTAATTGGCCAAGTGGCCATCACAGTGTGGTGTCACAGCTCTGAGGACTTCAAGCCATTACCTCATGGGCAGGCTGAGGATGAGCAAACAGCTCCTGCTCCCTGCTGGCCCTGGGACCCCAGGAGCACACATTTTCCCACCCCACTCTCCTCAGACATGGAGGCCGATGCACAAACACCCTTATTTTTCTGCCTCCACATCAGCAGGGATGGCTCCTTTTTAAAAACCTCCTTCCCTTCAATAATCAAGTCATACTTAAAAAAAAAAAAAAAAAGAAAAAAAAAAGAAAAAAAAAAGAAAAGAAGAGAAGAGCAGATATCCACTTACAATTATTTCATTAGTGTTTGATACTCCAGACAACCCAGCAGCTTCAGACGCCGCTGGCTGGTGTGAGAGGTCCTTGGTGCTAATTGCTGATGCCAACCTCAGCCATTAAGAAATTACTGCTTAATGCATCTTACAAAGACTGTTGGAAGATGTTACTAAGGAATTCATCAGAAAGCAGAACCAAATAAACCTGAAAGTGATTAAATCTTTCTCCCCTGAACTGCAGTGTAAAGAGGTTGGTGCTGGTCTCTTCTCACAGGTGTGACAGAACAAGAGGGAAGGACTTCAAGCTGCACCAGGGCAGGTTTAGACTGGACATTAGGAAGGGTTTTTTCACAGAAAGAGTGGTTAGACACTGGAATAGGCTGCCCAGGGAGGTGGTGGAGTCACCATCCCTGTATGTGTTTAAGGGTGGTTTGGATGTGGTGTTGGTGGATATAGGGGAGAACTTTATGGAGTAGGGATGATGGTTGGACTTGGTGATCCCAAGGGGTTTTTCCAACCTGAATAGCTCTATGATTCTATGATCAGCAGGAGAGCCAGGAGCTGCCACCAGGAGCTGTCACTCAACTGCAGCAGCTCTTCCCTGAGCCTGGGGCTCACTTGGCCCCAGGGCTAGTGCAGCTGCAGCCCGGGGACCTGCCCATCCCCTCAAGGGTGGGAGCAGAGCTCAGCTGTGGCCAATCCCCCCCACATGCCCTGTGGGGCCACAGATGGTCCCTGGAGCCCACAGCCCAGCCAGGGTCAGGGCTGCTGGGGGGTCAAGTGTAGCCTCTGGCTGCAGGAGGCAGAGAGGCCAGGGGTGTTTTTTTAAAAAGACTGAAAAAAATTAATAAATTCTTTGAAAGGGTGAGGAAGAGGAGGGGTGTTTTGTGCTGGAGAGGTGTCAGCCATGGGGCATGAGGGCTCCGAGTGGCACAAGGACACAGGGCAGGAGCTGTGACTCATGACTTTTTTGTTCTCCATCCTGGGGTGGGTGTTACATTTCAGGAGTTATATTTTATTCATAAAAATTGCTGTGCTCACAGCTGCCCCTGGCAGAGCTGTTGTGGCTGAGCCTGGGGCTGCCTCCTGCTGACCAGTGTTGGGGTGTTGTCCACAACCTGTAATAACTATTAAATATAATATATAAATGAAGGGCGAGATCCCCCAAGCTCCCCTCTGTGACCTGGACTGTGGGTACCAGGGTGGCCCCCAAGCACCTGGGCTGGGGTTTACAGCATGTGGTGGGCTGTTGTTGGCAACCACATCCCAAATGAGCCAGAGCAGAGCATGTGAGGTTGTATTTTTAACTCCAAGGACCTGGTGATATGGAAAACTGGGTGCCCAGCCCAGGTGTCGCACAGATGGATGGAAAACTCCTGCCCATTGGCACCTCTGCCCTGCCAGCCCTGGGCATTGCAGCATGTTTATGAATCTTACCTGGTGCTTTCCCCCTGGAAACAGTTTTAAGGCTGTTTCCAGACCCCAGAAGAAACCATTTGCTGGAATTAGCTGGGAAGTTCCCTGTGAAGCTGTCAGTGAGGATCTGGCAGGGTGAAATGGAAAGGGAGATGGTGCAAATCCAACTTTCCCAGTTCAGTGCCTGATTTAGCATGCCCAGGCAGGAGAACCATTTGCAAGCCCTCAAGGGGGTAATGAAAGGATGAGCCCATGGTCCTCACCAGGCTCAGTGCCTCCCCAGCACCGTGAAGCTGGGACTCAGTATTCACAGGATGCAGAAAAAAACCAAGCAAATGCTGCAGCTGCCCATCAGTGCAACCTACCCTACACATCTCTCTTCTCCTGTCCCCTGTGAGGATGACCCCATGCTGGGCTAAGAGGTGCCACATGGTGACATTCCCCCCTCCTCCCCAGGGCCCTCCTGCAGCCCCACACCCGGCCCCCAGGCTCTACTGAGACACACGGAGGCTAAGAACATCCATTGGGTTTTATTCCTCAGGTCTGACAAGTAAAAGCACAAATTCTCTTTGGAAAAAAAGAAAAAAAAAAAAGTAAACCAAAACAAAACCAACAACCAAGCCCCAAAACCAATGTTCAAGACACGTGGACAGTTTGTGTTTCTCAGGACGTGCCCTCAAGCTCCGCTGCTGGACACGGGTCCTTTGCAGAGATGTAGTTTTAAAAAACAAACAAACAAACAACCCCCCCAAAAAATAACCCACAGAGGAGGAAAAGACACAGGGCTACAGGATTCCACCTCAATTTTAGAGAAAAAAGGGCCCTTTTTTTGCTATTGTCAGAAATGTCCCATCCGAGGGATTCAGCGCAAACAACCAACCTTCATGAGGACATCCATTCCGCTCGGCCCAGGGGCACAGAATCTCTACTGGCACCTCAGACTGCTACAAGCCCTCAGGGGTGGTGGCCTGGTGCCCGGTGCGTGTGCCCAGTGCGTGTGCCCAGTGCGTGTGCCCTGGTTCTCAGCTGATCCCCCTGGGAGAGGGGGTGGTGGGTGCTGCTGTCCCCCCGAGCGGCACCCGTCACCCTCGCCAGAGGCTGCCCGGACACTGTGCTGCAGGGGACTGGGGAGCAGGGATCCAGGGGGAGAGGGGAGGAGGGGGTGCCGGGGCATGGGGGGAACACGGGTGGCTGGTCAGGCACAGGTGGCCTCCTGGCTCTCCACGGGGATCTCGCTGCCGCAGCCGCCCTCGCCCTACTGCTGGGAAGGGGGGGTC